AGGATGCTCAATGGAATGAGAAAGGCTGTTTGTCTGAACGCAGGAGGTTGGCTTGCAAAATGTGCCCTTTGGTCCTTTAAATGAATATGCATCAAAAATTGAATGAACATCAAAAAAAGAAACAAAAAAGAGGGAATAGAGGTAAATACTGTTAATATATCGATGGTGAATGGAGGGGATTGTAATCATTGCAATGAAACAAAATATGACTGGTTGAGTGCAAGGCTGATGATCTGCCCTATAAATTATCGTTCGATTCATAGGAAAAGCTTAAAAAACGGAAAAGACCAAATTTACTAGAGTAATAGAAACAAGAACACCTCTGAGACTATTGCTCTAACATACTCTTTTTACATAGAGCTGAAAGCACTCCTGGAGGTCACCTTTTAGTCATATAATTAATTGACCTGTAAAATAAGCAATGACACCTCTGAGGAATGTGGTCCTTTAAGTAATCAGCTATATGACTGCAAACTGTCAACATTTATATGAAAGTAAAGATGAGAAGACAAAGAGAGTCAGGGAAACTGGAAGGATGGAAATGGGACAGATGGGGTGGAAAGGGTGAGAGTCAATGTTCCAGACTCCATGTCATAGAACAACTTGTGTATAAATTATTGGATAGAAATCTAATTTGCTGGCTATATTTTTACCTAAAACACAATAAAATAGTAAAGACAAATCCTCTGTAGTTCTTGAAGAGGAAAAAATACATTTCCTATAAAGATGTGATTTTGTAAATCAAATTAAACCATTAAATAAGCTGACACAATCTCCCTTTGATTATTGCCTTTCAAGAAAAATATTCAAATTGATTTCCCCCTCATATTTATTACTCTGTGAATGCTTTTCAGTATATAAACTGAACACACTTCTCCTCTTTTCATTTTTCTGTTATTTCCTTGAGCCCATTAGAAACAGATATTTCAGCAGGCATTAGATTTCAAGACTGTGACAGGTTCTTATTTAAAAAAGTACAAAACCACTAAACTGCTTTATTGATATTAAGTTAGTCAGCTTTTTAGAAGCTCTAGCACATGTGGAGAGATTGTTCTATCATTTCTGTTTTAGATCTATTGACAATCTGCCATAGAAATGGAATAGGATTACATTCTGAAGTAACTTAGCCATCATTATAAAACTGAAGTTCATATCTCATAGATATATTTAGGTGAAAGGGGATTAGGAAATGTTTTACAAAATCAGAAAGTAACATTTAGGTATGAGAAAAAATTTTTTTAATAGTTTTATAGAAAATAGTAAGAACACAGGCATTGGATTCTAATCCAGACACTATCATTTATAAGCTAAGTACCCACTGGCAAATTACCTGATCTAAGAGCTTGTTGTCTCACATATAATGTCAATTATAAAGTTTATTGATCATGCTAGTGCAAAGAGATGGATTGGCACCGTGGTTGCAGAATTGGGCTCAGGTGTGCTATTTTAGTAGCAGGCACTTAGGGAAATACATATTTTCTTATCAAATATTGTTAATACCCATTTAAGAGCCAGTATAAAGATAGTCATAGTTGTTGCTGTTTTTAAGTGCTGTCATACCAGTTCAATCTCAGAGCAACCCTGTATAGAAGTTTTCTAGGGCTGCAAATCTTCATGAAAGCAGAATGTCTCATGTTTCCCTGCAGAATGGAGGGTGAGCTTGAACTGACGATGTGTGGTTCACAGCCCAGTGATACAGAGCCCCATGATCCCATCATGACTAAATAATCTTGTGTGAATTAGCCTCATTAAACCAGAGCTCAATGTGTATATATATATATACATCTCTTAACTATCTGTTAGGAAATTGCTGGTAAGGTATCCAGAGACTCTCTAACATGCATGTCTGTAAAGATAATAAGTATTTGATAATTGTTTCTAAGGCAGATTAATAAGGAAATGGATTTGCATATAATCAATGGTGGGCTTCTGGTGTGGCACTGTGGATCAGCACTGGACTGTGAACCACAAGGTTGGCAGTTCAAACCTACCAGCTGCTCCTTGGACACCCTATGCAGAGTCACTATGAGACGGAATCTACTTGATGGCACTTAACAACAACAATAACATAATCAACGGCATTGAATTGGTATAAAAACCAAAACAGAAGCGCTATCCTTGATCAATAAAATACTTAAACTACAGTTGATGGCTGAAAGAATTCCTCATTTCGTTGGGCCATTTTAAATAGCAGGTAAGAGCAACACAAATACTCTCCATTGTGCATCCACGTTTTAACCAGAGTTGATCAAAGGGAAAACTAACCTTCACTCTAGCAGCAAAAACAAATCAAGTACATTGCTATTCTGGCCAGGTGGTTACTTGGATGTTATGTAAGTACATTACCATGTAAAAGTTTTTTATAGAAAGAACCTAAGATATATAAAAAAGACAATAAAGCTGTTGATCTTTTAGGTGTTTAGGAATTCTTGTCAATGAACTATTGTAAGACTTGTCATTTAACAATTTACTAAAGTGAATCAATTCATATATTTTTTATATTATTTAAATAAACCACTTTTAAACCGCTTTTAAGGCAGTTGAAGGCTACAAAGGATGCAAGAAACCCTACTGCTAGTATGTTGGCTATATACTCGTGGAAAACTGCTCATACTTCTGGATTTTAATTGTTATAGTCACTAAAGAAGGGCATTAGACTAAAGAAGCATTTATTGAAGTGTGAATCAAATAATTCTGCAGAAAAAAGTGGGGTAATGAATAATGAAAAAGCAGAGGGAACACTGCATAAAATACAGTTAAGCAGGTTTTATTTTGAGTTGCAGGACTTCTCAGTACCTTTGTATGTTAGATTACACTCTAACTCTCTAAGAAGGAATATTATAGTCCATGTCAGTCAAATTCTAGAAAACCCACTCTTAAAAAAATATCAAATATCATTTAATGGGACAAGAAACACTGTTTGGAAGACTAGACTACATGATACCTGAAATAGTATAGTTACTTTTCTGATGCCTTTATATTTTTTTTTAGCTGACATTTTTTATGTTCCTAAATGGCAGTTATTTCATTGATTCATGTGACAAATGTTTATTGAAATTCCATGAGCTGTTGAGCATTACAGATAAAAAGATGAATTTGACACCATCCTTACATTCAAGTATCTCATACTCTAGGCTTAAAATAGTCACAAGCATAAAATTACAGATGTTATCACATAACAAACAACTGAATGGCGTGTTTCAAGAGCCCAGAAAAGGTATCCTTTGAAAACACTCAGAAAAGGATTTTTTTTTAAAAATGGAATTTAAAATGCTATCTGTAATATTTTGTGCTTTTATTACTAGAAAAAATGCAAAGAATGGAAATTCCACACCATTTAATTGTGCTTAAGAGGAATCTATATAGAGCTCAAGATCAGTAGTTAATAAAGAACAAGGGGATACTGAATGGTTTAAAGTCAGGAAAGGTATGTGCCAGGGAGATATCCTTTCACCATACCTATTAAATCTGTATGCTGAGCAAATAATCTGAAAAACTGGATTATATGAAGAACATGGCATCAGGAATAGAGGAAGACTAACAACCTGTGAAATACAGATGACACAATTTGCTTATTGGAAGTGAAAAGGACTTGAAATACTGATGAAAATCAAAGTCTTCATTATGGATTGAACCTCAATGTAAAGAAAATGGAAAACCTTACAACTGGACCACTAAAATAATATGATAAATGAAGAAAAATTGATGCTGCCAAATATTTCATTTTACTTAAATCTACAATCAACACTCATGGAATTAGCAGTAAAGAAATTAGACAATATAATGCATTAAACAAAATGTAGATTAATTTTAAATAGAATACACCCGGGAATTGATATATACAGTACAGAATACAAAGCAGTAGGTAAGAAAGCGACAGTAAAGGTAGCGTAACTTAGCTAACCAGTTAGAGAGGGTAACATTAAACTGAGACCAATGATGAGATGAAGGCACTAGTGCAAGAAACATGGAAAAGGATATTCCAGGAGGAGAAAACAGCAATTCAAAAGCCCTCATACAGGAATGAGCTTAGACTACTAAAAGGAAAGAAAGAAGTCCAGTGTGTTTGAAGTTAGTGAAGGAGACTGGGAGAAAAACAGTTGAAGAGGGGTTGACAGAGGTGGGATTTGGGAAAATGTTTCTGGGAGCCATGTTTAACCACAAACTTCATATACACATGGTACACAGACTGGGAGACATACCAAATGAGAGCTAAGACCAGTCCTCTGGTCACCACGAGTTAAGATATCAACAGAAATCAATAAGGAGAAATTCAAAGACTAATAGCAGAATTCACTGCCTAGTCTTGGTACTGATTGCATTCAAATATTTCAATGATCCTACACAGGTATTATTTTGAAATATGGATACATTAAGTTTTAACCTTTGCATTCTTCATAAATTCTGAATTAAAGAAGAAGGACGCACCCCAGGTATTGACGTACAGTAGTACTGGAAATGGGCAATGGGCAGTCAATTTAAGGGCACAAAATCACTTCCGGAATTGTTGTTGTTAAATGCTGTTGAGTTGGTTCTGACTCACAGTGACCCAGTACAGGGTTTCTAAGACTGTAAATCTTTGTGGGAGCAGAAAGATTCATCTTTCTCTCACATGTCAGGAATGACTTGTAATATTATTTTATGAAGGCACTATTCTCTAACGGCAACAATTCAATTGGTAAGACAATTTTCAACAAAACAATAACTATTATATGAACAGACACAATCTATTAAGCAATTTGAGACAAAAGAGAAGCAGAAATTAACCTAAAGCATGAGTTGTTATATATTTTCAACAATACCCTTAGGAAAAGCCTCAAGCCTTTGGTACCTGATAATCTGAAATATTTTGGAATCTTCTCATCATTAGCCCCAAGGTAAATCTGAGAATATCTCAATCAAAAGGAATTAGTCAAGCAGGGTTCCTTTCAAGTAAGGAAAATAAGTCTAGGTTTATAATTACAGCTTTATAGATACTAATATTTGTCATTACATAACAATTACCTGAAATTTAAAAAGATAGTCTTATTAGCAGCACATTTTTTTTTTTCAGTCTAAAGGAGATAAAAGCATTTTGCACATGAAATCACCTTAGTTTTTCAAATAGTTAAAAAATAATCATTATATTACAATAAAAATTATTTGCACTTATACTGTAAAATTCATATGACCTCATTTATAATCCTGTATTATTCACTCCCCAGCATCACATATATTGGTGATATTACCTGTCTGCATCCACTGTCACATCATGAACCCCTCTCTGGATGATATCCCTGGAAGATGCTGTATCTGGTATTCGGTTCAGACTTCTAGTATACAGATTTAGCCCTCCATCTGTCATGTATCTGAAAATAAATGTTAGTTAATCAACAGCAAATTGAATGCCATTATTGTGTAATTCAATTTAGCTTAACAAACTGTGTTTACAATTTTTAATAATTACTCAAACATGCTTTATTGGAGTTTCTTCTATATAAACATTCTACTGGCCATGACAAATTAAAATACAGTTTTAAGTTTATTAGGAAATCAAGTTTTTAACCTTAACAAACCCACTATAAATGTTTTCTCTATTTTGTCTAGGTATTTTGGAAAGATTTATAATCTAACTTCTACCCAAGTTAAGAGGAAGATAATTTCATTTTGTAACTACCATTTATGAAGATTTGAAGATCACAGGAGTAATAGAGTATTATTAAACTTAATAAAATATTAACTGATTTATAAACAAAATGTATGCCCAAGTTTTTCACTATCCTAAAATAATAATCAAAGTATATTCAGTGTTTAATATATGTCAATTCATGTTCTAAATAATGCATATGAAATACCATAATTATATTCCCTTTATAAAGATGAAGAAAATAAGTAAGTACAAAAAGATTAAATACTTGGCCAAGGTCATCAATAGCCATGAAAGAGCTCAGAGATGAGTCTAGAAAGTTAGCTCAAGTAACAATGATCTTAATCATCAAGGAATCCTGTCTGAGTCAAAGTATCTTATTATCTGTCCTGCTACCGGACTCTGACTCCACCATCACCAAGATAGTCATGTGAATACTAAGCAATTTTGCTACTCTAAAAACTCACTGCCACCCAGTTGATTCAGACACATAGTGACCCTACAGAACAGAGAATGCCTCCATAGGGTTGATGAGTATGCACATGTTTTGGGGAGCAGTCTCATTTTCCTCCTGAGGAGCACTGGTAGATTCAAACTGCTTCCATGGTGGTGACAGTGGTTATTTGCTATCAAGCTGGTTCTGACTCACAGCGACTCTGTATAGCATTTTTGAGGCTATAAATCTTTACTGGAGCAGAAAGTCACATCTTTCTCCTATGGAGCAACTGATGGACTCAAACTGCCAACCTTGTGGTTAGCAGCTGAATGAAAAACCTCTACCCTACTAGGTTTCCTTACACTACTTCCATAGACATGAGGAATTAGTCATAATGAGGATTTTAGTGTCCTGCTTCATGATGACCTAAACAGGTCATTTTCCTACGATAATTAGAATTCAGGGGCAGTTCAGTCTTTCTGTGGGCACAAAGTCAATAATAATGGAACCAAGGGTACTGTAGGGTTCAACAGAAAGACCTCCCCAAAGTTCAGAAGAATGAACAGAAGCATAGAGAGCAGAGGCAGTTGGCCATGTGGTTTTCGTTTCACAGCCTCTCTTTAATTCAAGAAGCCCTCGATACTTCCTTAAAACCAAGTTTCCTATTTATTTAAGCAAATTCACGATGATTTAATATTTTACAATTAAAAATTTAATCAAGACCATCAAGTATTTAATTTCCATATTTAATTGCTAATTAACCAAATCGTTTAAAACATGGGTTATTGAAAGGAACTAATTACTTCTGTAATTAGCAAGTTTAGTTACTTATTAATTGAAAGACTTTGAAAAAGTTTCTTAAACTGTTCAATTTCTTGCTCTAAAAATAGGAAAACTAATTATCTTCTGCAGATAGATTATGATAATTAAGATTTATATAAAACTCTTTATATAGTTGTGTTGTTGTTGTTACATGCTGTCGAGTTGGTTACTACCCATAGCGACCATATAGAGGGTTTCCAAGAAGTAGCTAGTAAGCTTGAACCACCAACCTTGCAGTTCAAACGTCTTTGCAGTCTGGTGCATTAAGCCACAATGCCACACCAGGACTCCCTTTATATAGTAAGAATCTATAAATAGTAGCTAATAACATTCACTGCGTCTTGCACACACATTTTAAAAAGTACATACAAGAATTTTATAGATAAAGGAGTAACACAAAATTTTACTGCATTATCTCTCAAATAAAATTTGAAATTTCTCAGAATTTTGGCTATGTTCAACATCTTTACATCAGAACATTACAAAACAATTTAAAAACAAAATTCAGTAGCTGCATGAAGCATTTCCTCTTTCTCCATTCCACTGCTACCCCAAGTATAATTGCCTCTTTCTTTCTGTGTAGACAATCTGCATATTTAAGACTGTAAAGCATATTTTCTCTAGGTGTCTATCTTCCAAATTAATATTTCCAGATCATCCTGTTCTTGAACAAAGCATTAAATTGCTTCCTGTACATAAATAACTAGATTTCTCACGAGTACTCAAAATATAGCATAAAACTGGGTCTATATTATTTTCTCCTCTAAAGTTTTTGTTCTTTATATACATGCTAATATATTGTTGGGCTTCTATCATGGAGGGCGGCGGTTAAACGATGTGCGACAACTGCACAGACCTGGTGGAGGTGTTAAATGAAACCCAGACCACGGAGCAGCGGGGTGAGAGGTGTCTGGAGACCAGGTCTAAGGGGAGACACTACCTAGCTTGAAGAAACTGCAGGGGCAGACCAGGTTGTCCTACTTACCCTGGACGCGGAGCGCCTTCCTAGCCTTACCGTTGGATCCTGGCTTAGAGGCGGGGTCAACCAACTTAGAGACCCACAAGCCCAGTCCATAGCGTCTTACTACAAACAGTCGCCCCTGCTGAGGACTAAGGTGCACCTGACCCAGGCCATGGTATTTTCAATAACCTCATATGGATGCGAAAGCTGGACAGTGAATAAGGAAGATAGTAGAAGAATTGATGCCTTTGAGTTATGGTGTTGGAGGAGAATAATGAAAGTGCCATGGACTGCCAAAAGAACCAACAGATCTGTTTTGGAAGAAGTGCAACCAGAGTGCTCCTTGGAGGCCAAGATGGCTAGACTTCGTCTCTCATACTTTGGACACACTGTCCGGAGAGAACAGTCGCTGGAGAAGGATGTCATGCTGGGTAAGATGGAGGGTCAGAGAAAAAGAGGAAGACCCCCAACACGATGGATCAGCCAGGTGACATCATTGATGGCGTCAAGTGAGCGGCTGTACTGAGGTTGGCCCAGGATCGGACATTGTTTCGTTCTGCTGTGCATGGGGTCGCTATGAGTCGGTTCCGACTCGATGGCACCTGACAACAACAACAATAATATATTGTTGTTGTTGATAACTGCTGTGGAGTCAGTTCCAACTCACAGCAATCCTGTATAGGGTTTCTGAGGAGTAGCTTGTGGGTTTGAACTGCTGACTTTATGGTTAGCAGTCTATTGATTATCCTACAGCACCATTAATATGTTTACAGGGAAACACCACCCACGTGACACCAATCTCTATATATGACTGTCCTCTCTTTCACTCTCCATTCACAACTATTATAAAATATCTTCAGATCTGTGAATGTGCATCACTGCTGTTGTTGTAAAAGCCATTGAGTCAGTTTTAATTCATAACGACTCTGTATAAGGTTTTCAAGGAGTGACTGGTGGGCTTGAACCACCAACCTTATGGTTACCAGTCCAGTTCTGATCTGACAGCACCACACGAGGACTCTACTAAATTCTAGTTATTCCTGGAATTCACTGCAAGAGGGCAAGATTATAAAAGTTTTCTTATTTTTTTCCTCAATTATCTTAATTATATAAAATGTCATCAACATACTTTTTAACTTTATAGGGTAATACATTGTTTTATGTAGAAGAGTACATAAAGTGTAAAAGTAGAAATTATACATTAATAAGATAAATTGTCATGTATCTGATAACAGTTTCATAAATAAAACATTTCCAGTGTCTTTAATGTGCCTTATTACCTCCTTCCTGTCACATCCTCATCTTTCTCCTCCAGAGGTATTCACTCTTACAGATTCTGTGCTAATGTTTTTTTTTCTTTTTCTTTATAGTCTTACCACATAAATATGTATCAATAACCATATATTGTTTTAGCATCATATGGTATACACTGTAATTAAAATTTTGGGACTTTCTTCTTTTATTCAAAACTAATATTTTCACGAATCACCTACACTCATGTGTCTAAGTATTATTTATTCTGCAGCTATATAATTCCATGTCATGAATGCACTACACTTTATTCATTCATTTGCCTATTGTGGTCATTTGAACGGTTTTGATCCTTTTGCTGTTCAAAAAAAATACTGCTATGAACATTTATGTCAAGAGCTACTCGTGTCCACTGGCAAGAGCTTCTGTAACATCTACATCTAAAAAAGGAACCACTAGGTCATAATGTATATGCATATACAACTTTACTAGGCAATACCAAATAGCTTTCATAATGGTTCTATAAATTTACATCCTTATACTTCTAGGGACTCCTGGTGTGGTGCTACAGGATCAGTACTGGACTGCATACCACAAGGTCAGTGGTTCAAACCCACCAGCTGTCCCTTTGAAACCTTATATGGGGTCACTTGATAACATAGGAACCAACTCAAAGGCATTTAACAACAACTCTTCTATGGATGAAACTATTCATTATTCCAGAATGTTGGCAGTATTTGGCCATGTTACCATTTGGAAGGATTAAACTAATAAATATGAAATGACCTCTAATTTTAAATTTACTTTACAGATTCCTGATTATCAATCAGACAGATGAGAGTTTTTAAACTTTTTATAGGTCATTTATGTCTTGCCTGTGAAAAGTTTGCTCTTGCCTTTTTCTCATTTTTCTTTTGTGTTCTAAGTTGGTTTTCTCATTTCACTGATTTTCTAAGCTTTTGTCATCTATTTTCTTATGTGTGGCATATGTCTGTGGCTTATATGGGGTTTGATTCTGACAACTTTCTCTTGCTAATTTTTTGAGTGGCATTATTCCTGACCAATTAGAAATAAAACTTGATTTAGGTAACTTTTGTAACTTCAGAGTAGCTGCTTCTGTCCTTTTTGTGCAGTGTTTACAAATGTGTCAACTTTCTTTGAGCTTTGCAGGCTCTGTTCCTCTCTCCTACTTTAATCTGGACCTTCTCTACCTTCATTTCGATTGCCACGATCGTGGTCACTTTTTCAATCA